GTGTTGGGCGGGTTTCTGATCCACGTGACCCTGGGCACTTTCTACACCCTGGGCAATGTGAACACATACATGACGTCCTACATCCGCAAGAACGTGGACCCGACGGCCACTTATGCCGACTCTATTTGGGTGAACGCGGCCTTCATGTTAGGTCAGGGCTCGCTCATGACTGTGGGCGGCCTGCTCGAGGTCAGACTCGGGCCCCGGTATGTCACACACCCTCACCTGCGACTAATCAGCTCATTCATTGTCCCGTTTCCCTTCAAATCAGATGGACGTGTCTGTTAGGGTCTCTGGTGTTCAGCGGTTCCATAGCATTGACGTACTTCACGGTTCAGATGGGATTCGTTTACGTGGTCTTCAGCTACGGCTTTCTGGCGAGTCTGGGCGTCGGCATCGCATACGTGGCCCCTCTCGCGGCCGGAATGAAAGTATGTCTTTGAATGACTACTCTATAAGTTATGGATTATCACATGCAATGCATTCGCTTTGTCAGTGGTTCCCGGCGCGCAAGGGTCTCGTGAATGGCATAACAGTGGGCGGGTATGGTATGGGGGCTCTTGTCTTCAACCACGTCCAGACTGCTTATCTAAACCCATTGAACGCCTCCCCCGACACGGATGGCTTCTTCACGGACGAGGCCATCCTATCGCGTGTGCCCTCACTGTTCGTGATGTTGGGCGCCGTCTATCTGATGATCCAATTGATCGCATGTGCGCTCATCTTCAGACCGCCGCTATTCCCCGATCAGATCATCTTCAATGAGGGGAAGTTCCTTCTCATCAAATCCCCGTCCGAGTCGGTGCTGGAGTGCAGTTACAGCAGCTGTGACGAGGACTCGGCGTCCGGACGCCACTCCCCGCCCGTCCGCTCCGCACAGAAGATTGATTTGTCGCCCAAAGAGGCCATCCATACGAATGCGTTCCTCCAGATGTGGTTCATGTTTGCGTTGAGTACACAAAGCGTTCAATTCATGAACACTATGTATAAGGCGTTTGGACAGCAGTTCATAAAAGATGATTATTTCTTGTCATACGTTGGATCCATTGCCAGCGTGTTTAACGCCTTCGGACGTATAGTCTGGGGTCAAGTGCTCGACAAGACGTCGTTCAAGACGTCGTTTATCGCTGTTTGCGCTCTTCTCACGGGACTTATACTCACATTCATAACCACTCAATCGTTTAACAGTAAACTCCTGTACTTCATGTGGGTTTCGGCCATATTTTTCTCGTTTTCCGGGTAACTATCAATGATTTACGTTACGATAAAAGATGTTTTATTAAATGACAACAGGATTTGTCTTTATTTCTTGAATTTTAATCTTCCTCTTCATACCATACGTCTAGGATTTTTGTAATCTTTCCTACGGCTACTGCACAGGTGTTCGGCAAAACAAACGCCGGCACTATTTATGGGCTTTTATTCACTGCACCGGTATTTATGATTACCTTACATATTACGGTACTTTGTTATACATTGAACTCATCCAATGGTGTGTTTCAGGCCCTGTCCTCACTAATAGGCGCCCTATTGTTCCAAATCATTCAGCACGAGTTGGGATGGTTTGGATCATTCTTTATGGTCGCAGTGCTCACTGTTTTAGGTATTATGTCAACAGTCCATGTCTTCCTATCCTTTATTATTCTCTAATATATTTGTAATTATTTCTTGTCTTCAGCCCTTCTGTTAATGGTTTTCTTCCCATCAAATGTCGAGTCATTGCGAACCAGAAAAACCGAGAATTGAATGTAAAAGTCATGATTTGTAACTACCATTAAATGACAAGAAATGGTATTTACACTTACGGTTAATGTGATCCAATGGTGCGAATTATGTGTCTCTTAATCAGATCTTAACTCTAGTTTTTCGATCAACTTTAATCCAAATTGAAATCTAGTCTCTTATGAATTTGATACAAAGTTAATTTTAACGCAATTTGTTTTTTAGTTATTTTTAAAGTTTAATTATTTTTTATATTTATTTATTACCGTAAATGTTGTCGAGTTTTAGTATTATTTATGTTATTGTCAGTTAAACAATTTTATTTGTACCGTAATTATCATAAATTTTAATTTAACAATTTTAACGGTAAATTCAGTATAAGTAACCAAAATATAAGTAACAAAACATTCCATTGGTATTTGACAAGTTATACCCTGATTAATAATACAGTAAATTTGGTCTTAAGTCTGCAATTTTACTCCAATTTACCATAGTTACAATATCATGTACCGTATTACGGTAAACCGCTTTACGCAGATTTTAAAAACATTTCCATTTGTTGACTGTTTATAAACTTTATACCAAGTTCTGTAGTTATTTCCCCATTGATCCAATTAATAAGGTTTTACAAAGTACAGTACAGGTAATAGAAAGTCACCAAAACTTATTTCTATGGTATTTGGATTCCCCGTTAACTTTGATGATAGAGAATCTCTCTATGAATACAATTACAATGAGTGAAGGGAATCAGCAATTGTGTGGAACTCTGTTTCCAAAACTTATCAAAAGATTTTTCTTATCAAATGTTTATAACTTTCTATGAAACGTCTAATTAAAAAAAAACATTCCTATATGTGATCCAAGTGTTCAACAAAATTGTTTACCATTTCAATTGTGTACATCTCATACATGTATCTTAATTATTGACTTTTCTAATTTATTAATATTTATCATCTAATTATATTTATATCTATTATTATGATAATTATACGAATTATATATATAAATTTAATTATAAACAAATTATCATATATTTTATTGTCAGTTAATATTTTACTGTAAATTTAAATTGTATTTTACAAAATTATATTCTTTTGAATAAAACTATAAATTGAATGCATTTTAAGAAAATTACGAGTAATTTGTATGAAAAGCATGAAAATGAACGAAAGAAAAAACCATTTAAAAGGAAAAAATTTTATTAAATGCTAAGTAATTACAAAATATTTAAATTATTATATCAAAAGTAATACCTTTACAGCAATATAGCGCGTTATTAGCGCAATATATCATATATTTTGTTGTATAAGTTGTTTATATTTTTGTGAAAAATTATGTTTCCAGTAATTAGTCTATCAATTGTTATCAATACTTAATATTAAATATGAATGTTAGATACCAGGGGTACTGTCTGGCACTTAGTATAGCAACAGTCTACACGAATCCAATTTAGTACAGGTGGTCATGTCTATTACAACTTATATTTAGCAAATAAGTACAGGTACAAGTATCTTAATATACAGAATATGTTTTAAGATTTGTTACAATTATATAAGAATTTATTTTTATCTCAATTATTATGTCAAAGTTTCTCTCTTTTATTCCGGGTCACATATTCACCTCAAATTCTATGCATAACATGCAAATACTAGTACCGGTAGTTAGCAAGGCAACATTTGCGACACCAAGAATTTGCTTATATTTAGTGAGAATATTCTGTTCATTCAATTGTGTCATTGAATGCAGTGTTTGTGTGTCTATAAGACAATTGTGTGTTCAATGAGTGTATCATTGAGTCGATTGTAACCGAATTGCGGGCAAATCATATACAATATGAATACAGTAGTAGTGCCGCAATACATGTGTAGAGGCATACAAAGGGGTCGGCACCAGTGTCTCAGGCACTGTGCGTATGGGTCGCACCCACCGGCGTATGGATGCGAGCGCGCGTAGGACTACGCAAAATAGTCCGCGCGATAAATATAGCACTGAAACGACTGCCAAAAACTAATCAGATATGAGTTTAACCCAGAGATAAGCCACAAATCAATGCACTCATAGACTCGACACTCACACAGATATTCACGACTAATAATTAATGTGATTTTGAGTGAGAAAAACACAATTAATAGGGAAATAGCTAGCGATCAGT